ATGGAGATATCAACTGTACATGCTTTATAGAATTATTATGAAGACTGCTAGTTGTCAAAATATTAGGTACTCATTTTTTTCTAATGAATGTGATTCCATCATTTGTCCATAAATCTCTAGAATCTGTCATTTTCCTCAGAAACCACCTTCTGAAAGTAGTATCCTCAATTAAAAATAATGTAGGTGGTCATTTTGCTCTGGTGAGCATTTATATAGTCTCAGTAATGTAAATCTATGTAGTCACAGAAATGAAGACTTTGTCTATTGATATTAAACTTTTAAAATCAACCCATGATCAAAACATAGGAGTAATTATGAGTATAGAAAAAGAATGGAAAGTTATTATACTGAGAGACAGTAGTTATATAATTATTATACTGAGCACAAGAGGGAAGGAATTGGTAGAGGGAGTGCTATGGTCACAGGGCAGAGTCCTTCTAGTTGGCAGAGCAGGAAACGAAAGTGTAAGTGAATCGCTGAAGTTGCAAAGGTAACCAGGAGAACAGCTGAGGGGACCTGCGAGTAGTGTAAGTGAGCTAATTCCCCATCTACCACAGAAGGAAATCAATAGGTAATATCAAAATTTGAGAAATCAATAAGTAGCAGTGTAAGTACATTACTTAGAAATCTGAAAATAATATGAAAACCCTACAAAAAGGCTAGAAAAAGAGTTAAAAGTAGTTTATTCATGAAACAGGTGAAAAGGACTAAGAGGGAACCATTCTTTTTGCTACTAGTTCTGCTGTACTACTGCATTAAATTTTTCAATTTTTTTTAAGGAAATGTAATTGAAAAATGTCTATTCACAATACCAACTAAAATTATAATAAGAAAACTAAAAAGAAATGTGGACAACCTACTTGAAGACATCCCTAAATCTTTATTGACATAAGAGAAGGACATAAGAGAAGACCCAAAATCTGATGAACCCTACTACATTCCTGAAGGGGAAGACTCAGTGTCTTAAAGCTGGAAGTTCTCTTTAGTTAATCCACAAATGCAATGCAATTCCAATCACATATCCCAACTGAGTCACTTTTGTTTTTGTTGGTTTGTTCATTTGTTTCTTTATTGAAACATAATCAATTATATGTATATGTACAATCAATTATGATTATGGGTACAGCGTTGAATATCAATACCTGTGTGCAGTATGTGATTCTCAAATCAGGATAATTACTGTATTTACCAACTGAGTTACTTTTGGAATGAGACAGGCTGTTCTAAAATTCATCTGGAATAGAAAAATACATGGAAAGAGCTGAACCTTTTTTGAATAAGAACAATGGTAGAGAACTTGTCCTCACAGACAGTTCAAAAATAGACTTATAGATCTGTGGAACATAATAAAGTACAGGGCATCGATTGTGAACATCATTGTCTTCATTAAATGGGGAACTAGCCATACCAACAAAGTTAAACATCAAGAAATGCCCGCTGACCTTCCCACGCGTGGGCTGACTGTGCAGTAATATGACAACATTTAAACCAAATGCCTGCAACCTAAAAAATGTTAAGGAGGGGTTCTCTGAGCTTCTTGGGGAAATCATCTTTTGTTTGCTATAGACAAAGAACAAATATTCATAATTAGGCATGATTCTGTCTAGTGGACAAAAGGCTGCAAACTTAGTAAGAGCAGAAATGTTAAATTTCTTATCAAGCAATTACTTTCTTGTAGCTAATTCATCCCAATACAAGGCAGTGACTGGATAACAAGTGTATGCAGAGAAAGTAGTGTAAATTCTAGGGCAGCTTAGGTTACGGAAAAAGGACACCAGTGGTGGACCTAACCTGAGAGCCCAGGGTTTTCTCATGAAAGATCATCCAAGTTAAGAAGCCTGAATCAAGGCCACTGCTTTTTCACCTATTTACTGCAACAGCCATCTGGTCTCCCTTCCAGCCCTCGACCCTTCTCACCATCGGTATCCAAACTCTCGCCAGAGAGGTCTTTATAAAACTCAATCTGATTAATCTCTCTCCAGCTTAAAGCCTTCTGTTGCCGTTTTTATTTTTATTTTTTAATAACATCCAAATTCCTTAGCCTGGATTATCAGTTCTTTATTATAACACCCAGCTACTTCTTTCAACTTCAATCTTTGCTTATCCACCTACTATAATCTTCCTCATCTTTTAAGGTTCAAGTTCAAATGTCAACTCCAGAAATCCTTTGCTGACTTCTCCACACTTAAGGTACCAGTGGAATGTTCCTCTATTACAGTATTACTGTAATTACAGTAAAACATGCATGTTTGTGCACTAGACCAGGAGTTACTAGAAGAGAGGTAAATATTTTTATTCATCTTCATATCCCCAACTAGCACCTTCTAGATAAACCACTCAATATATCACTATTGATGGTGCCAATTGTCAGCAGTTAAGAATTCCACAGGAAGATCTCAATTTTTCCCTTCCTTAAAAACAGACTTTTACAAAGAACTCAAATGACATAACATGAGTGAAATCATAAGTATCTCGATGTTTAGCATCTCCTGAAAGCTAAAGTCTGTACTATTGAAAAGGGTAGGTCCAGCTATCATGATTTGGGAATTGGAGGGCTCGATTCTAGCCACAGATCTGCTCTATGTCTTTAGAAAAATTGTGCAGTCTCTCCATGCCTATTTTTTTCTCCTTATAAAAGAATGAGATTGGTATGGTTTCTTGCTGCTCTAGAAATCTAGGACTGACCACTACCTTGACATCTGCCCTCCCAAAAGGCATTCACACACGGCGTGCATACTGCTGGCATGTAGACTATACCAAGTCACGGGGAAAATTAGTAGCAGATGGTACCAAAGTTCTAGGTCAAGGTACTGCCCAACAAACACAACTTTTCAATTAAAGCACATGAAATGCGCATCATCCTTATTTCTATGACTATACCACCTTATATTTTTGTGGTCCTTTTCCATCTTCCAAATGTTTTCAGAAACATTATAACAGTAATTCTTACAACAACTTTGTGAGGTACACAAGGAAGTAGTATAATCTCTTGTTACTAAAAGGGAAGATGAAGTTCATAAAGTTTGCCTTTGCTTACATGCCTCAAGCTTGCTCTAATTTCTGATTTTAGGTTGCAATTCAAGTCCCTACGTCCTCTCAGTGTTTTAAGAATCACTGAGATGATTCTCTGATTCTCTGACTCAAAGGTTTAGTACATTACACTAAATCCTAAGACAAATAATAATAATAACAATAATAATTTCCTGAATATATACAAAATGCCAAATATATGGGCAAACATGAGTTTTACACTTAATATACAATTTTAAGACTAAGGATATACCATCAAAACTCAGATTTCTTCTCTTTGGTCTTCCTGCCTCTGAATGAACATTTTTTAACTTTGTATTCCAATCCATTGAAGCCACTTCCACTAACATTACTGTTTAATAATGCAACTCAGATTTCACAGGAATTCAGAATCTATTAATTTTACACACTCTGAAAATGAGTTGATCTGCATAATTCAAGATGTTCCTCTCAAAATTAATCTGAAATTCAGAAGAAAGATTTCTTGAAAAATAGTCTTGCTACCAACTGAGACAATTTTAATGGACAGTCAGTAAAGGAAATTTTTCACTCAGCAAAATAAATCATTAAAATAAATAATAGAAAATCTATTAAATAAAATATGAAAGATATGCTCAATTAAAAATATCTTAAGTAAGACCATTTGTATGTGAAAACATCTATCTTGAAAAAAGACACCTTACGTTTGTCAACTTTAAAAGATTATATGACTAGAAAAATTAATTCAAATTTCCATAATGTTTAAGAATTAGAGCTTTATTTTAACTTCAATTTAATCTTAAAGATTACATTATGGGGTGAAAGTAATAGAAGTCAGTTTCATCATTACTTCCATGATGTGTAAAGAAAGACAACCCTGAGAGTATGCTATGAAATTCCATTAACTCCTATATTCTGCATAAAAAAGAGTTTCCAAACATATTAAATGACAAAACTCTAAATGGAAATCTTGACAAACTGCATATCGAGCAAAACAAATTCTACCCTACTTCTGTATAAAACCTCCTTCCCAGGCTTAGAAAACTCAAGTATACTCAGGAAATCTCAACAATGACACAATTTATATTTGGAATAAAAAGCAAGTATCAATGCTGGGGCTGTGAACATGGCACATTGAAGTTGAAACCATAAACTAGCAACCATCTCCAGACAGGCTCTCAGACCAAGCATTGATGAGATAAGATAAAGTTACATTTGAGTAGACCTACATGAATAATCTGAAATGACAGATGAATTTCAGTTTCAAGGTAAGTTTAGGAGACATTCCTTGGCATGTCATTTATTCTGTCTGACCAGGCATTTCTTATAATTCAAGAACAATGTTCATATATTTTATATTTCTGGTCTCCTAACTCATACTTTAAAATGTTTCTCTCATGCAACTGGAGCTGACAGGCTCTGAGAACATGATACATGGGTCCTGCCTCCATTTCATCTGTGCTGATACTTATGCCATTCCATTTTATAAAGCTAATTATTTTCACTATCCATGACTACCTTTAACTGATACAAATCGGGAAGCATTCTCTCCAGATCATTATACAAAGTTAAAATATAGCTTTCTTCATCATTATTCAAACTGAATAAGTCTTGACAATGTTTAAATTAAAAGCCACTGCTTATAAGTGTCAGACAAATGAAATTTTTCGGCATGTCTGTGTCCTTGACTTATAACCTAAGAATACAAATGACTTTTTCACTGACCACTTTACTATAATGGTGCACTTTCAATTTGTAAGCATGCAAATTCTACCATTATAAAAGTACACATTTGCAAGATAAAACACTTTTGTCTAACCACAAATACTTCATTACCTTTTCTTTTCATATTGAAATATAATATCTCAAATGTGTTGCCAAGAATTCAAATACATCTTTAACTTAACAAAGCATGAAATAAAATAACAAATGTTTATCATCCTTTACTAGAACTATTACACTTACCTTAAAATTAGTAGTATGAGTCTTACCTTTTTCTGGACTTAAGTTTTTGTACACTTCAAGGTCTGCCATTAAATTTAATATTGTTACACATTATTGGCAAGAGCAGTAAAATTTCTCTCTAAAGGCAAAGCCTTTTCCTGATACACATCTCCAAAAAGGGAGAGAAAAAATGCAAAGAAATCCTTAGCAGTCTCAAGAACTTGACTCATTCTGCCCTTTATGGCATGATGAGATCTTCACAATTCAGGCTTTACAATGTGGAGAAAATAAATCCATGAGATATGATTATAGAACTTTGTCCCAAAGTGAATAGCACAGCCAGATAAGCACACTGGAAGCATCTGCTCAGGGCTGCCGCTATTGTGGGAATGCAGGCGCTGTGGCTACTTTGGGTATGAGACATGCATGCTTAGTGTAGCGCTTAAAGCCCTCCAGGCACCACGCACATTTAATGTCTGGGAAGTGTAGGTCTTTAACCACCAAAGAAACCCTCCTCACCTATAGAGGTCATTGAGAAACCCTGATTACCATGGGAGTGACGCAGGCTGAATACAGAAAACATGCACACACACAGAAACACACAGAAGCACAGACACACACACTCTTGGAAGCAAACATTACTCCATCAGAGGCAGACACCATCCACTGAGAAATAAGCTATGTGCAGTCCTCTGCACACACTCTCCTGTCTGTCAGGTTAAGCACATGTTTATTCAAAGCGTTGAAGCTTTTCCTTGTTTTCTGTCCTTATTCCACACACAAACATAGCAATAATCATAGAAAAGACTGGAATGTTTCCAACTTAGATGAAATGAGGTTACAGTTTCAAAATACTTATACAGTGAAGGCTACTTCCCAGGTTTAAAAAAAAAAAAAAAGTCACATCCATGTGGGCAAGGGAAATAGCATGAATGGGTCTGAAAAAGTCAGATTTTAGTGAATGAACCAGCATGTTATTACAGTACAATTTTCCTTAAAGTATATACAAGCATTATTTGCAAGTTTAGTCAACTTCTTTGAAGAGATAGGTAGACAGACACACAGCCAGACATTTCACAAGCAAGCTACTACGTAGTCCTGCATTTAAGCATCATAACTAGGTCTCTCCACCCTGAGCATTAACTCCCTTACTCCAGAAGTCTCTTTCTAATATTGACCCCTACTGCTATTTTCTTCCTACCAGCTTCAGCTGATCCTGCCCACCCTGTGGGCCCTGGGACTCCCAGCATCTCCTGTTCTGTGCATGACCATGCCGGTCCCTCTTCTCCATTCCCATCAGGGTCACCCAGCCCAGGTTACTAACACCTCTACTCCAAGGACCAGCTTCAGCTGATCCTGCCCACCCTGTGGGCCCTGGGACTCCCAGCATCTCCTGTTCTGCGCATGACCATGCCGGTCCCTCTTCTCCATTCCCATCAGGGTCACCCAGCCCAGGTTACTAACACCTCTACTCCAAGAGGCGAAGCTCTACCCCAATTCCCATTTGCCTGTATCCCAATTTGCATATCTGCTACCCCAGTTTGCAAACCTCACTATTGCCTCTTAAATACTCCTGGGAAATTTGAATTTAAAATGTGTGTGTGGGCACTCATAATTAGACACATATTTAGGATATTCTTCTTGCAAGATTGAATCTGACATACTATACAAAATAGAAGTTAAGAGTTTAGAAGCCCAACTGCCTGGGTTCAAATCCTGAATCTTCCACCAACTAACTGTGTGACTTTGGGCAAGTTACTTAAATTCTCTGCTCCTCAGTTTCCTTATTTGTACAATGGGCATAACAATAGTTTCTACTTCAAAATGTCGTTGCAAGAATTAATTTAATACACAAAGTATTTAGAATCACAATATTATATATTATCATTACTATTATAAGGACACTTCAGAAAGTTCATGGAAAGATTCATATTATCTTTTAATTCCATTTTTTCAAAATGTTTGAAGTACTCTCACATTATTAGCCTTGAAATTCATCATATCAACCCAGAAACACAGTGAATTTCATTGCTTAATCTGAGCTAACAAATAGTTTGAAAAGTGGTGCTCCAAAATTTGAAATATCTCAGAAATATCTACTCCCATTATATAATTCAAATGTTTAATACTCCCAGATAAGCATATACAAAAAGACAATGGTGTTTCCATAACACAAAATTGGTACCAAGTAATGAATTCAAGCTGCCCAGAACCAAAGATGCCCAAAAAGCAAAAGGCATCTTTGGGTGGATCTCCCTCTTAATCCAAAAAAGAAACAAAGACCAAAGTGCTCCCAAGGAAGGTCTGGAAAACCTTACTTCAAAAGATCCCCCACACCAATCTTGTGATGCCAATGTAAGGGAGGGTCAGGGGAGGGAAAGACAATAAAAGTCGATTGCTCACTTTACCCATCGGGAGTGTCTTTATCCTGCAGGTTCTTCACCCCTCTCACCTCTTGCCCTTGATGCTCCCTTGGCTGCTCCCTGGAAAAGCTGGCGTGCAGAACTGGATGTGGAACCCAACACCACAGCACAGGGCAGGTTCATCCTGAGTGGCTTAGGGGCGCCTTTGAGAACCAAGCCATTTAGTGGCTTCACAGGGTAGGTGGACAAGCTTTTAAAAAGCAGGTATGGCCCATATGTACACATTTGACCACCAAGGAGCACCCATGGGTTTTTGAGAGCCTAAAAGTATCTACTCCCTATTAAATATCCAGTACTTCAGCAGCAGCAAATAACCTTCTATGCAGCCCATTCAAAAGAATCATAAAACTTGAACACGTGACCTAAGATCAGCAGGGGCACGGGATGCATAACCACGTTTCCCCAATTACTCGCCAGTATTCTCCCAACAGAAGGTCATATATGATGTCAAGTCTAGGCCAACAGGCTTTGGGAGGCAGTGGTGCTTCTAATGCAGAGTCATCTCAATGATGGTACAGCCTTAAAATCTCTGACTTGTTAATCGGAACTCTCATTTGAAAAGGTTGGGCTTTTTCCAGATTAGTTCTAGCACAGTACTTGGCATATAGTAAGTACCCTATAGACCCTCATTAGCTTTCTCCATATTTAATCTTTAGACCTAAATGTGAATTATCTGCACCAATCAGGTGAAAGACAGAGAAAAGTGTCTCTGGATTAGGCTTCTGAATTCACAATAAGTGAAGGACTTTAAGCCCTAGCTGAAAGCATCTTCCTCATATTTCATACCTAAGTTCTACTTTTGATTTCCTAAAAAAATCACAGAGGAGTAGGTAAAAGCGTGGGCTTTGAAGTCACAGCAAGGTTTAAGTGCTAGCTTCTCCTTTACTCACTGCATGATCTTGGGGACATTATGGGTAGGGTTGCCTGATAAGACAGGACACCCAGTTAAATTTGAATCTCAGATAAACATCAAGTAATTTTTAGTATAAGTATAAGCCACGTAATAATTCCTGTATTTTTATTTATTAAATCAAACAACCCGAGTAAGCCTAAATACTCTCATCTGCATATTGTAGTACCCACCTCACAGGGCATTTCTGAAGAGTAAAAGAGTTAGTAGAGGACAACAGCCTGGCCCCAGTGCCTAGACAAATAAATACCCAGTAAATGGAAGTGAAACCAGTAAGTGACCACTCCAATCCCTAGTTTGATATAACTTCATTTAATCAAATCTCATATTAAAGAGGTTCTACACTATATTCTTCCTACACCCCAACCTAACCAGTCATGTAACCCTGAACCGAGACCAACTCAGAGTGAAAACATGGAGTGTCTCTGCCCCTTGAACTCCCAAGTCCAGTTAGAAAACCTACTGACACAATGTAGGAGCCATGTCATTTCATGAGATGATCATTGTAAAAACTACCATTTACCAAACACCACTATGCAAACATTATTTTCGCTAGTCTTCATGAAATTCTGCAAGGAGATATATTAATATCCACATTTTAAAGGTAAGGAAACTGAGGTTCAGGTCAGACAAGATGTCCAAGATCACACAGCTATGACAGAACCAGAATTCAAACCCAAGCTGACTCTAGGCCCAGCTCTTCTCCCAGGTTCCAGGCTTCAGGTCATAGAAACCATCTGCAAGGTTGCAGGCCTAACTCCAGAATACCTCATGCTTTTCTCAGTTAGAGTATTCCCACAAAATGCCAGAAGCTGTTACTGTCTCTGGGATAGAAACACAGAGATGCTTTAAAAGAAAAAGAGTCTGTAAAGCCATAATCCCAAATTACACTTGCAATTTTTAAAGCACATTCACAGTTTTCACGACAAGACGCAGAGTAATACAAAAGTAAGCAGAGGGCAAACACTTTGCCAGGCAGAGTCCTGGTCACACCCAGCCACACCCCTCCGCAGGCCTGGCCATGGCCTTTCCTTGAGATAAAGGAACCCTGGTGAAGGGTGAGTTTCAGAGGAAATTCCATACACTGCTGACAAATTGCAAATTGAGAGCATAAATTGTAACAAACTTAATGAAAAGTCATCAGTCAAGATGCAGCAAGATTTCTAAAACTGCTTACACTTATTTTAGTCAATAATCATTACTGCTACAGTGATTGTGAAGAAATCATCAGAAATATAAAAGAATAATATAAAAATCTGTAAATCTAATCTATAAGAATGTTTCCTTAGTACTTGTTACAATAATAAATAACTGCCAATAATCTAAATGCCTATCAGTAAGTGAATGATTAAATAAAATATACATTCACACTTTGGAATACTATTAACAATGTTGGCAAGATATTGCAAATACCTGGAGAATGTTTCTCATGCTAAGTGAAAAAAGGAAGATACAAACTATATACAATGTGATTTTAATTATGTAAAATATATTGTATAGATACACAGAATAAGTTCTAAAAAAATATATTAAAAATTTTATCAATGTTATCTCTAGGTGTTTTTATTTTCTTCTGGATATTTTACTATATTTTAATGTTTTTTAGAACAAGTATGTATTTCTTTTATACTCAGAAAAAAATGTTATTTTTAAAAAGTATAGCTGGTTTAATAATACAACTAGAGAGAAAAGCCCTTCCCACTGGTGTATTGTTACAATGAAGAACTTTCTTTTAGGATTACTAACATTTGTGAA